GAGGACCATGGCCTCAGACTTGGAGGTTCTGGTTCTAATTCTCCTTGCTTCACTCGGCTGCGAACCGCTTCAGTGCGAGCTGGAGGTCACCACTTGATGAAGCCCACAGAACCATATCATGAGCAAAAAGCAGAGATGAGATTCAGTGCCCACTGGGAATGAATCCAACTTATTGCCGCCTATGCCGACCAAGCTCTATCAATGGGTTGTATAAGGATCGAATGGCCCATAGCAATAACTGGCAATGAGTTGCTGTAATTCAGCCACATTAAAGGGGGTTTGAGCATAAATTACCTTTTTAAGTTAATGACACAGCATCTCAGTCGAATTCAGGTCAGGACTTTGACTATGCCACTCCAAAGTCTTTATTTTCTTTTTCTTAAGCCATACAAGGGTGGACTTGCTGGTGTGTTTTATATTATTGTCTTGCTGCAGAACCAAGTTTGCTTGGGTTCCTGCAGTCATTATAAGACATAGCAGTGAAAGCAAAATATGGAGGATTAAGAAGTTTGCTGATAGTGTCAGATTAAAAACTTGGGTCATGTTTGTTATCAATAATCAAACTAGAAAAATAAGATATTCTCCCATCTTTTATGAGTTGATTGAGTGAAGGCCCAGTTGGATAACCACATGTTTAAATAGCTTTCTTTAAATGTATACATTCTTTTTCTTTTGCTTCTGGCTTAAAGGGGTAATTTTCTGCTTGGTCTTGCAGGGTACTGATTACTCCAAGTTTGTGGTCCAGATGGTGATCAAAAATTAGGTGCTGGTCTGTGGGCTTCCAGTAAACTTCAGTGTTGAGGCTTCCATTCTCAATGTGCACAACACAGTCCAGAAATGACAAGCTATTATACTTTGTATCTTCCCTGGCTTTTCTATCCACTGTGTTGATGTGAACAGTGAAGGCTTCTACTTCTTGTCTTTTGATTTTGACCCAGATGTCATCAAAACAATGGATCCAGATGAAACCATAGTGTTGGCTAGGTGCTTTTCCTTTGAAAGGGCCAAGAGTTACTATCCACTTCCTCCATATAAAGGCTGGCTATAATGGGTGACACTGGGGAGCCCATGGCACAACGTTTTTGTCTGCAGACACCCTCGTAGCTAGTTCTGTTTTCTAAGGAGCTATCTTGCTGTCGTTGTTTTCTGACAGTTTCCACTGCCTCAGTTGTAAGGATGAGTGAAAAGATAGAGAACACTAGTGTTTCATCTGGATCCATTGTAACTTTTGGGACCTTGTTGGTGAAGTCAGTAGAGTTTTTGATCTGATGGGGTGTGTTCCACACACACTAGGACGTAGTGACGTGCTTGGAAATTTTGAAGGTGGGTGAGTTTATACTGCTAACGATGGGTCCTTCTTTGTCGATCTTCAGAAGTCCATATATGCATTGTATTGCATCCCCAGGGTATGTAGGGTGGTCAGTGGCTGTTTCCTTTTTGACTTGACTTTGATTCACGCAGATAGAGGAGGAATCCATATCTAATGAGTAGTCCTGTATAATTTTTTTTTTGGGGGGGGGGAGAGGGGGGCACTAGCAAAACGGTATATGTTAGCTCATCTTTACTATGGGAAACTGCCAAGGCCTATCTCAGGGGTAGTATTATCTCATACACCATAGCGCAGAAAAAGGAATCAATGAAAGAACAACTCCATTTAGAACACACAATACAAAAATTGGACGACCCAGTACCGTGACAAGTACATTGAGTGCTATTGAAAAATGGGAGAGAGATTTTAATAACCAATATACTGAGGAGGATTGGAAAGGAGCCATTAACATAGTTAGATCTACTTTCACTTGCCACAGCCTATGAGAAACCCAATACTAAATTTTGCGCCACCTATATAAAGCTCCTAAGATTCCACCTCATGTTCATGTTTCCCCTTTATGTATCAAATGTCTGTGAGAAAGTTTTTGATCGATGCACATGTAGCAGGAGAAGTCCAGGTTTACCAGCTTCGCTATAAGAATATCTGGGGCGATGGTACTGACAGCCAAGCTGAAATCAATGAAGAGCATCCTTACTGAAGTCCCAGGATTCTCCAGGTGATGCAGAGCAGAGTGGGGGGCAGTGGAAATTGCATCCTCGGTGGACCTGTTTGCCTTATAGGCAAACTGCTGGGGGTCAAAGGGGTGGGTGGGGGGCTGTCCTTTATGTGCTTTAGGACCAGCTTCTCGAAGAACTTTGCAACCACTGGTGTTAGTTCTATGGGTCTATAGTCAGTGAGGCTACTAATGGTGGTGCACTTGGGGATTGGCAATATTGTTGCCGATTTCAGGCATTGGGGGACAGTGGCATGTAACAGGGAGAGGTTGAATACTCTGGTGAACACGGGAGCCAGCTGGATGGCAGAGGCTTTGAGCACTCTCCCAGGTATTCTGTCAGGGGCAGCAGCTTTCCTCTGATTTACTTCTCTGGTGTTATTGGAGGCTAAATGTGTGAGGGCTGTGCTCAGAGGAGGCTATGGGCTGGGCGGTGTGCATGGTAGGGGTGTCTGCAGTTCTCTCAAAGTGGGCAAAGAAATGATTAAGTTTCTCTGCTAATGAGATGTCCATGTTATCTGTATTTGTCCCATTGCCTTTGTAATTGGTGATGTGTTGAAGCCCTCCCATACCTTTCCGGAGTTGTTATCAGAGAGGTGATCTGATTGCTTATTTGAGAAGTCCAGTTTTGCTGCGCTGATGCCTTTTTTAAGGTTTGCTCTTGCTCTGCTGTACATATCCTGGTCCCCAGATTTGTATGCAGTTGCGTGCCTTTAACAATGTCTGATGGTCTTCTTTGTCCTTTTCCTGAGTGGTGTGTATGCTGGGACAACAAGTAGGGAGAAGTGGTCGGACATTCTCAGGTGGGGGAGGGGAAAAGATCTGTAGGCTTGCCTGATATTTAAGTAAACATGGTCCAAGGTGTTATTCCCTCTCGTGGGGCATTTCACATGTTGAACAAATTTAGGTAACACAGTTTTTAAGCATGCTTTGTTGAAATCCCCTGCGATGATGTGTACTCCCTCTGGATATGTCCGTTGCTGTTTAGATATTGAGTCGTGCAGGTAGGCAAGGGCTGAGCTAACATTAGCATCTGGTGGTATGTAGACTGCTGTTGTTAGTACTGCAGGCAGTTCTCTAGGCAAGTAGAAAGGCCTGCACACAACAGACTTTCCCTCTATGTCCGGGGAGGAGACTGTGGTGATGATCTTAGTGTTTGTGTGTAAATGCACAAACCTCCTCATCTGCTTTTCCCCGCTGTAGTCTTTCTGATGATTGAGGATTCAGGAATTTCTGCTTGTAGCCATGTCTCCGTGATGACCAAAGCACGACAGTCACGGACGAGTGGCTGTGCGGTGAGTAGTAGGTTTCAGTTTATCTATTTTGTTGACGACTGACCGTGCGTTGGTCAGGAAAATGCTGGGGAGTGGTGACTTGAAAGGCTGCTTCTTTAGCCTGGCTAGCAGGCCTGGCTGGCATCCCCGCTTTTGTTTGTGGTCCTTTCCTTGCCTGCGTTTCTCGGCAGAGCCGATAACAATCAACAGAGCACCCAACATTCTCGCTATCTCCGGGGGGATGTTGTTGATCCTCTGATAATCACTGGTAATGGGGATCTGGCTGTTATGAAAAAAGACAGAAGCAAAATCGATGTTTGTCTCAATATGGACCAATACGGTAATACTGTATTAGTACAGCCATGGAATGGCGTTCGGGTTGCAATAAAGCTACCTGTTGACATACAGTTTATGGACCATAAAAAGTGCTTAGGAGCCACCTTTTAGGAATTTTTTGTAGATTACGAACAAGTCTGTTCCTTTCAGGTCCTGGCTGTGTCTCTTCACCAGCTCTTTGTTTAATATGTTCAAATTTTGCCACAGTCAGCCTGAGTCTACATTCTCCCCGTTGCTTACTTCTGATAGGATTGAAGATGATGGTTTTAATAGTGTCCACCGGGAGTTTCAGGTGTGTCTGGATGAACCGTCTCACCATTCTTCTTCTTTGTCGTCTTCTGCTTTTTCTGGTTATCCTTCATCTTGCAGGCCTGAAGCTCGATAATGTGTGTTTTGGGATGAGCCATTCCCTTAGTGAGGGATTTTACCAACTCTGAGGGCCGGTGTTCTGAGAAACTGTTCTACTTTGGCAAATCATCCTACCCGTATTATAATTTGACGGTAACTTCTGACTAACCCTAACCCCTAACTATAACCATAAAAAGACATTCACAATGGGTTAAAAAATGAAGTAAATTTGGATTTTGTGTTGTGCGCATGCGTATGCGCAGAAACAACGTGTTGAATGCTTTGTGAGGTAGGATGGATTCCCAGAACACTAGAATTCAATGGACTCGCACAAGCACACATCATTATCCATCTACTACGGTGCTTGACGGTTGGTATGAGGTGTTTGTGATGATATACTGTGTAGTGTGGCGACCCACTAGAGGACTACATTCACACCCAAGCTTGGAGGAAGGGTTCTCTTGTGTTTGGGTGCAATATGCGCAATTCATGTTTGGAGGTGAATAAAGTTCTATTGTAAAACTAGAGCTCCTGTGTCGTGTGTCACATGCCTCCATAGTATGTTTTTTCCCAAATGTGCATTATGACCAAAGGTATGTCTTGATTTCTTCAGATGAAACTTTGCAAACCTAAGCTGTGCTGCCCTTCCAAACAGGCCATACTTGTTCTGTATTTTTCTAACTGTACTCTCATGAACTTTAACATTTAACGCATTCGTTACATCAAGTGAAAGCTGTAAGAGTGTCCTTAGTTTTTCCACACACTGCTTCTGTATTTTGGTTAAATACACTGTAATTTGTCAAGTTGTTGTTCATCTGAGATGATGACTTCAATAATTTCTGAACCTGGTAAGGAGCAGATTATTATTATCTCCTGATGCAAAAATCCTTACAATTGACAATATGATTTCTTTTTCACATTACTATATTTCTTACAATAGACCATTGCAACTTCTAGTATTTACTGTATCCATTGTTTTTGTATTTGACCTCCTCAGGTTGGCATTTTGTAGATCGCCATCGAATAGCTCTGATTGACAGGGTGAGCGACACAGTAGCCATTCTAGACAAACTCTTGGATAAAGGCTTGATCTCAGAAGAAAGATTTGATGCAGTGAGGGCTTTAAATACAACACAAGATCAAATGAGAGAAATTATTAAGTCCGTGAAGTCAACAAATGCAGCCAAAGACGCCTTTTATGAAATTTTGAATGGGATGAAGGCTCTCATGCCTCTCATGTCTGAGCTTGAAGGATCTCAGTGAAAGAATATTTTTGGTCTCTGATAGAGTATATAAAGTCTGGTTTTTCGTGACTGTGACAACAGCTGTTGCTGGAACCAAACTGTACATCTGATTAACCCACAGCCTTCTCCATGCCTTATGTTTAAGGAGGACATGTTGAACATTGATATCAAATGATGACGATGAATTTTATGTAGTGGCAAAAAAAATGTTTAATGTGAAACTTGTTTTCTCAACCGCGTTATTGTTTTTGTGTAGGCATAAAATGTGCCATTTTAATATGTTTTTTTTTATCTTTGTAATTGTATTTATTTTATGTTTTCTCCAAGATGAGAAACAGAAGTGAATGTTTTTGCAGAAGATAACCAAATATGTGTGCATATTTAAATGAAAATGCCTAATTATTAGAATTCAACTTGTATGTCGATCACAGAATGTATAAAAAGAACATTTCTGAGTAAAAAGTGCATATTGAAGTGTATAACATTTGTAATGAAAGGGAATTTTGAAAACATTCTCACCTGGAAAATTTTGTGTTTTTCTGAAGGTTAAGTCTTTTCATTGGTTTTCATTTTTCTTTGCAGTAGAATGAGAATGCAAACCCTTCTACTTACTAAGCAGTAGGGTTTGCAGTATATCACTTTAATTAAACTCAGTCTTATTTAGATAAGATAAGCTTTATTAGTCCCACGCATGGGAAATTTGTTTTGTTACAGCAGAAAGTGGACAGTGCAAAGTTACATTAGATTAAAAAAAAAAACACTGGAAGAGAATACGATAATAAGAATATGAATAAGATACTGTACACAAAATAATAAAATAATATATACAATAGAATAAAAATACTGTATACAGCAGAATAAAATACAATATTGTCAGAAAAAGAATTGTATTTAGTGTTATTGCACATGTGTGGATGTGTGTGTTTGGTCAGCTGTGAAGTCTTTGTTGTGGAGTCTGACAGCAGTGGGGAGGAAAGACCTGCGAAATCTCTCTGTCCCACATCGTAGGTGCCGCAGTCTCCCACTGAGAGCTCAGTGCTCTCAGAGTCTCCTGCGGAGGGTGGGAGATGTTGTCCAGCAGGGATTACAGCTTAGGCCCCATTCTCCTGTCACTCAACACCTCCATTGGGTCCAGAGGGCATCCTAGAACAGAGCTGGCCCTCCGGATCAGCCTGTTGAGTCTCTTTCTGTCCGCACCGAGAAGCTGCCCCCCCAGCAGGCTACACCGCAGAAGGTCTTCAGGAGTGGGCCCTTCACTCCAAAAGACCTGAGCCTCCATAGCAGCTACAGCCTGGAATATAAGAAGAAAAATCAGAGCTATATTTAAGGAAGGGCAGCCATCTGCTGTGACCTGTCAGGGGTGAGGTGAATATGAAGTGTGAAAAGGCCGGTGTCATTGTCAGGTGAACTGAACTTCAGGTAAGATGTTTTGACCTGCAGTCTATCTGGGTCAGATATAAACCAAGTTTAGGTGGAGTTTATTAACATGATATATAAGTCACTTTGATAACTTAAAAATGTTATTGTTTGGCTTTTTCAGTGTTTTATTTGTTTGTGAGTAAATCGGTTTGGCTGAGATTAAAGTTATTAGATTAGATTAAATGAAGTGGCCGGTTATATTTTAGATA